TTTGATTGCATAATCATAAAAATACGATTCTTTTCTTTATAATTTTTCAACCCAACGATTGAAACTCAGTCCTTTTTTGATCTCTATTCTTTTCAAAATATATTTTTCTCTCTTATTTTTAACCACACATTTTTCAATGAAATAATATTACACTCAAAGCCAAATTTTTTTCTTATTTTTAACTATACATTCTCTATTATTCTACTATTACAAAATGCATTTTTATTCAAAAATGAAGTTCAAACAAGCACTTAAACACAATAATTAACACTCTCCCGCTATCCTCCTATGCAAAAGTTAATAAATTGAAAATAAAAAACCTCAATTAATTTAATTTCTTTTGGGTCTTGAATATACTTTTATGTGTATGTTTGGCATGATTTTTAAAATGTCAAAAAGAGCTTTTGAGATCAAAAGTTACTTTTAGACCCTTTCGATTAAGTTATAATATATTAAATATAACATCAATCGAGATCATTTTTAGACGATTTTAACCTTGTTACAATTCAATTATTTCAATGATACATTACTTTTCATTTTTCAATATGTATTAAATACTACAAAATCATTGTCATGTATGGATATTGTATAATTAATTCTCAATGAATTAAATTCACATTAATCTAGATTCAATAAATCTTGACTTGATGAATCTTGATCTACACGAATCTAGAATTATTATAGATGAATTTATTTTTATTCATATATCTAGGAGTTTTAATTTGTGTTTAAATTCATGTATTAAAAATTAATTTTTATGTACCAAATGTAATAGAAAAAATATTGTAAGATTCACCAACTTTAAAATATACATTTACTTGATAATATGTTGATATAAAATTATTCTATTTTTTACCGAATAATCAAATTTCATGAAGTAAAATGTCCTTTTTTTTTGAGATTTCAAATCAATCGTGTTTTTTATTTTTCTGTTTTGAGAAACAATTTTTTTCAAAATGACAAATTAAACGTATTTTTGGCAGTCTTAAAACAAACCCTCAAAATAGAAAATTGAAAATGAATTCAAAATTCAAAACTGAAAACTGAAACACAAACAAAACGGGCCCTTAACGTTTAGAATTCGGTCCCAAGTTTTTTTTTCAACTATTTAAAATAAGATAATATTAAAAGATATTTTTGCCATTCTTTAAATTAATCGAGTGATTTGTGGGTCAATTCAAAAAAATTTGGATGGAAATTATCAATGGATATGGCATGAATACCTAACATTTTGACCTTCTTTTTGACGTTAATGCACAATCTTTAGTACAAATTACAAACAAAGATCAAGTCTATCTATGTTTTTTGTACACAATGATGGATCTAGAAATTCGAGCGAGCTAAGGTAAATTCAACGAGTGAATGAACGCAACCGCCCACTATATTAGGGGGAAAAATCGACGGAACCAGTACTAGCAACCACCATGGCTCCCGAGTACAGGTTCCGCCCCCTATTTGTACACAAATAGGTGATTAAGCTTGTTTTCGATTTAATTTCGGCTTCCTGAAACATGTTTCAGTGCGATATATTAGTGAAGCAAAATATGAGTGAAAGAACAGTCGAAATGAAACCCAAAGTTAATGAGACTTTATTTAATGGTTGTATGTGTCCTATGCATAATGTGAAATTAGTGTGCAACGGATTCGAAAATGGAGTCGAGCACAGTGACTAAAAGGTCAAAAAATGGAAGTTCTATACGAATTTTATAAAATAATTAAGTTCGAGGACCAAAATAGGACGCGCCCTTAAGTGACCAAACAGGTTTTAACCCTTTCAACTTTATTATTATACAGGCTAACTTATTCTTCAATTAAACTCAAAAAGATATGTAAGTTGAACCAATGTTGAAATAATTGCTGCACAATCGTAAGTGATATTAAAAGCGTAAGATTTTACCTAACGCTTATTTTAGTTATTGTTGATGAACGAAAAGTCGCACTTCTGCAAGAGTGTCAACTAAGCAAAAGTAGCTTTCTAAAACTTCAATTTTCAAAACTCACTTTACAACTGCCTTTGCACTTAAATTTGGACTTCTGATATTGTTTTGACTTGTTGATCTTCTTCTTCCTTTTCTTTTTTTCTTTCTTTTTTAAATTATTCAACTGACCCATCTCTTTTTGACATTCATCCAAGTCACGTCAACAATTTGAAGTGCGTTTAGCTGTAGATTTACAACAATTATAAGAGTCGGAAATCGATCGAACAAGAAGTTGAATACTAATTTTTTTCTGGGATTCTTGACATAAATTTTTTAATGTTCTAAACTTCCGTTCTTTCAACCTCAACCAAGTAAATGAATAGTTATCTAGAGATGTGTTATAAGCCCGTGCTTGTATTTAGTGGCGGAGCTAATATCCGACGAGCCATGAAGGTATTCTGAACGGGATTCGTAGAATTTTTTTTCCAATATATTGGGCAGCCGCTCGTCAGTCGCTGAATGTCTTTTCTAGCCTAGATGGATTCGCTCTAACTCAAATGAATTTCTGATCCATCACTATTGTATTTTCAATGTCTTAATTGTGTAGCGTCTAACGTGACCAAGTCAATGAATTGTAATATATAGATGCGTGGTACGAGTGATGATATAAGTGTGCGAATAAACGTGTGGTTAAGATGATATCTCATCAAACTACCCAATATTTTAGTTAATTCATAAATCGGAATGCAATATTTTATACATGCACAATTAAATGAATATTTTCCTGGTCATTGTTGAGACCAATAAGGTGGTGGTTTTCTCATCCCAAGAGAGATTTCAATAATTGTTAGTTTATTTGATTAGTTTTAAAGTTCTAGAAGGATTCAATCATGCACACATATGCTTACCTCATCTTAGAATTCAAGAACACGAATAATTGAGATTGAAAGTGAACTCCGTACCATGTTCATGAGCAAAAAATTATTGCAGTCTGCACCAAATTCAATGCACCAATTACCTTAGTTAATATTACTTGATTTGAGGTAGAATTATTATAGCAATCAAATCTTTCAAGTTTATTTTTGTCGATTATGTTGTTACTACGGATATAATATGTCATCAAAACGATTTTGCCATTTTGAAGACTCGCAAAAATATGAAATCCATGATTTTACAAAAAATAGATTCATTTTCGAAGAGTGCATAACTGCACGGATAGGCTCACACAAATCCTTTGCCAGTTGCCCCACAATCTAACGTTCACCTTCAAAAAAAATATTGAGATTTCATCTGAAAATGTAAACTTTCCAAAAAATAATACCTCAAACTCTTATATATTAGTTATTTATTTCTTTTATAATTGATGGAAAATTTTGGTACACATTATTTTTTTCATTCTCATTCTTCTACTCATTTTCAACCACACATTCTTCAATAAAATAATATTTTCTATCAAATCAATAACTTTTCTTTCATTTTTGCTACAGGTGCATAAGTATATACATAAGGGTTGACATAATTACACGTGGCATATAATCCAACCTTTAATTCAAATTTTACACTTACATATCGACAACTGGATGATAGACACATCACCATTATGTGCACCATTATGTGCATCACTGTGCACCTCTAGCATTATTCTACTTGATTTGAGGTAGAATTATCATAGCAATCAAATCTTTCAAGTTTATTTTTGTCGATTATGCTGTTACTACGGATATAATATGTCATCAAAACGATTTTGAAGACTCGCAAAAATATGAAATCCATGATTTTTCGAAAAATGGATTCATTTTCGAAGAGTGCATAACTGCATGGATAGGCTCACACAAATCCTTTGCCAGTTGCCCAACAATCTAACGTTCACCTTCAAAAACAATATTGAGATTTCATCTGAAAATGTAAACTTTCCGAAAAATAATACCTCAAATTCTTATATATTAGTTATTTATTTCTTTTATAATTGATGGATAATTTTGCTACCTTAAAGTTCCATCTAACATAGTGGATGATGAAATTTTTTAACAATATCCAAATTGTATTCTGGTTAAATTTAGAAGGATTATGAAATGAAAACAAAGGGTAAATTTGTTACTGTGCTAGTATCATGTAATAACCCAAAATTATTAAAAAAAATAAAAAATGGGTCCCATATCTTTCAAGTTGGGGTATGAGTTACTGTCCCTGGGCGTTGACCCTTTTTGAGTCTGTCTTTCCAGTGACAAAACCTCTTCAATTATGCCAGCATTTGCTCCCATCTACCACCCACCCACCTTGTATAACATTCATGTATTTGCAAATTGGAAGGAACATTAATTCATAAGCACGCAATTATATATATTTACATATACGCGTATGCATTTCAAAATAAAGTTAGTCCCTGTTTGATTCACATTATTTTTTTTATCCTCATTTTTCTACTCATTTTTAACTACACATTTTTCAACAAAATAATATTTTTTATCATATCAATAACTTTTCTTTATTTTTCAACCACATATTCCCCATCACATCAACGATAAAAATACATTTTTACTCCCAAAATGTGCACAAAAAAGGGGAGAAGGATAAAGTTGGACGAGAAGGATAACATAGTATAATAGGCCACCAGATTTTTGAACACCACAAGTGCCCACATCAGATCTTTCCGTGAGCAAGAAGCAGGTATTTTGCCACCGTCAAATCCCACTTGTATTTTTTCTCTCTCAGCTTAAGACTTGACTAATTAATTGATAGCTATAACGCAGTAACTGGTATGCCAGAATCTGTACGCTACATTAATTGCTTTAGCATTAGAATCTTCTTTGCAAAGCTTCTTTCTGCAAATTTCTTGCCAGTTCTTCTTTCTGCAAGTCGGAGTTTGGATAATGGGGTAATCTTTTACTGGGCACTTTCTAGCTTTCTGTCAATTTCTGAGTTCGTAGTCTTGGAATTTTAGAAAGGGTTTCTTGGTTGATTCCACAGCAAATTTTTCTTGGTTTTCTCTTGGCTCTGGTATTATACTTGTTGATGGGGAAGTGGGTGTTCTTGTGTATCCCACTTACGTGCTTGCTTATTCTGTTTTTACTGGAAACCGGTATGGCTAGTGTTCAAAATAAAGGCAACTTGAAGCCGGGTTTTCAGGGATCTCCAATGTTTTGGATCGACAATGATGGATTGTTTCTAGTATCCAACAATTCAAATTTCGCTTTTGGGTTCACCACTACCCAAGATGTCACTTTGTTTCTCCTTGTTGTCGTTCACAAGGACAGTTCAACTATAGTGTGGTCTGCTAATAGAGGTTCCCCAGTCGGGAATTCAGATAGTTTCGTGTTTGACGATAACGGGAGCGCTTATTTACAACGCGGTGGATCCACAATTTGGTCCACGGGTACCTCTAACAAAGATGTTTCTGCAATGGAATTACTGGACTCGGGAAATCTGGTTTTGCGTGGGAATGATGGAAGTGTAGTTTGGCAGAGTTTTGACCATCCCACAGATACTCTACTTCCAAACCAGGAGTTTAGTGAAGGGATGAAACTTGTAAGTGATCCTGGATCCAATAACTTAAGCTATTCCCTTGAGATTAAGTCTGGGGATATGATTCTCTCCACGAGCTTCCGACCCCCACAGCCATACTGGGCCGCGGGAAGGGACGCACGAAGAACCATCAATAAAGATGGCAATAATGTCACTTCAGCAACTCTTAATGCTAATTCTTGGAGATTCTATGATGGAAATAAGGTCTTGCTCTGGCAATTTATTGTTGACGATAATAATGCAAATGCAACTTGGGTTGCTGTTTTGGGATCTGATGGTTTCATTACTTTCGTCAAGCTTCAAAGAGGTTCTACTAATCCCTCCTCAATAAGAATACCAGAGGATCAGTGCAGCAGACCTGCAGCTTGTGATCCCTACTATGTTTGTTATCCTGGCAACAGGTGCCAGTGTCCATCAGCACTTCCCTCTTGCAAATTTGGAGCTCGACCTACATGCAATAACTCACAGGATTCTGTGGAGCTTTTAAGTCCAGGTGATGGCCTCAGCTACTTTGCACTTGGGTTTGTCCAACCGTTCTCTAAAACCGATTTACAAGGCTGCAAAGATTCTTGCCTTAGAAATTGCTCTTGTGGTGCTATGTTTTTTGACAGCGATTCAGGGAATTGTTTTCTGTTTGATCAGATAGGAAGCATGCAAGGATCCCTCAACAGGGCGGGCTATGCTTCTTACATCAAAATCTCGAGTAATGGGGGAAACAGTGAAGACAGTGACAAGAAGCGCTTTCCTATAATCATTATCATTGTAATTTTGGCATTATTTGTTATGCTGAGTTTGCTTTTAGCTGGATTTTATTACTGCAAGAAGAACAGGAAAGTGCCCACGTACCAAAAAGAGAGCTCGGAAGAGGACAATTTCTTGGAGGGTTTATCTGGGATGCCAGTCCGTTTCAGATATAAAGATCTCGAGACTGCAACTAGTAACTTCACTGTGAAACTTGGGCAGGGAGGGTTTGGTTCAGTTTATCAGGGGACTCTCCCTGATGGGACTCGCGTGGCTGTGAAAAAATTGGAAGGCATTGGTCAGGGTAAGAAAGAATTTAGGGCTGAAGTTAGTATCATAGGCAGCATCCACCATCTCCATCTGGTGAGGCTTAAAGGCTTCTGTGCTGAGGGAAGCTACCGGCTTCTTGTATATGAATACATGGCAAATGGATCGTTAGATAAATGGCTTTTCAGGAAAAACGAAGGAGAGTTGATGTTGGATTGGGATACAAGATACAGTATTGCAGTGGGTACGGCTAAAGGCCTTGCTTACCTCCATGAAGACTGTGACGTAAAGATAGTTCACTGTGACATCAAACCTGAAAACGTGCTTCTTGATGAACACTTCATGGCCAAAGTTTCAGACTTTGGTTTGGCTAAGCTTATGACTAGAGAGCAGAGCCATGTTTTCACCACATTAAGGGGCACCAGGGGGTACCTTGCCCCCGAGTGGATCACAAACTATGCCATATCAGAGAAGAGCGATGTTTATAGCTATGGAATGGTGTTGCTTGAATTGATCAGTGGCAGAAGAAACTATGATCCTGCAGAAAGTTCAGAGAAATCCCATTTTCCGTCCTTCGCTTTTAAGATGATGGAAGAAGGAAAATTGACGGACATCGTTGACACTAAACTGAAGATAGACGAAGAGGACGCGAGGTTTTCCACAGCAATCAAAGTAGCTTTGTGGTGTATACAGGATGATATGTACCACAGGCCGCCAATGGCAAAAGTAGTGCAAATGCTTGAGGGGGTCTATCCTGTCCTCCCACCACCGACTGCGTCTCAACTTGGTTCCCGGATGTTCTCGAATTTGTTCAAATCAAATAGTGAGGAGGGCACTTCATCGGGACCGTCGGACCGTAATAGTGATGCTTATCTTTCAGCAGTTCGCCTTTCGGGTCCTAGATAGATGATGAGTCATTGACATGTACAAGGTTTTCATATTTTTGTGGTTTTTCTTGTATATTTGTTAGTTATTAGTTAGTAGTTCCAGAACTTTGCAATACATGTCACATTTCATAATCTACTTTTGTGTACAAATAAGATGAAAACAAGAGAACAATGACAAAATTGGTCAAGAATAACTAAAAGAAAAAATAAAAATAAAAATATTTAACTCATTTGAGTTCAGTAAATAAGGAAAAAAAAAAACGACGGTTGAAGATGAGGAGAACCAGCGCGGATGCAACAACTCCTCCGTCGTTGCTCAGCTCCTCTGGCAGCACGTTCAAATTTCTGGTCAAACTTTGTTGGAAAAGACCCACCACTGCCTCTGCCACTTCACCTCCTTCAAGTAAAGAATTAGAGTGTGTTTGGTAGAGATTAAAATCGAATTAAAATTGAAAAATTAGTCGTTATGGTTGACTTTTATTAGACGGGTGAGATCCAATAACGGCTATATTTTCAATTTTAATTGGATTTTTAATGTTACCAAACAAGCCCTTATTATATAAATCATTCTACATGTACAACATTGGTTGATGACATCCTATTTGACATTGTCATATTCGTTCATTTTAAAAAACTTCATTTTAAAAAACTGTTTTCTACATCACATATTAGAATTTTGACAACACATGTTGTCAACCAATGTTGTACACTTAGATTTATTCTTATTATATTTTCAATCGTGCTACTTGTACAATATTACAATATTTTTTTTTACAATCTTAGTTGACAACACCATATTCATTAATTTTAAAAACTATTTTTCAAATCAATTATCCAAATTTTGACAACATCAATACTGTCAACTATATTGTATAAATAGGTTGATTCCATGGGCGGAGGTAGTGGGGGGGCTAGGTTGGACTATAGCCCAACCCTGCTCCCCAGTCCATATGGAAAATTTAGAGTAAATTGTTCAATTTTAACCTAAATATTTGCGTTAGTTCAACTCTAATTTTAATTATAACCCAAATCCAATGCTCATTTATTCAATTTTTGTTAAAAAGACTACAATTATTAAATATTATTTTCATGATATTCACGAAACGTGAATATCTTATTGTCAATTTAAGCACTTTATTTAATGCACGTTTGACTAAATTTACTTATGATAATTAAGTAAATTTTATAATTGATAATAAAAATAAATTACTTATTTTAATAGTTAGAGACACTATATGTTTTGCTAAATTTAAAAGCTATTAAATTTTTAATTCTATGTATGTTTTCATATATTACTTATTCATACTTATAAATAAAAAAATATTCGTTTTGATCATGAAATAGACGTTATGATCAAAATAAGTAACTTGCTCTAAATTATATCTTGTCAATAAAAGAATATTTGTTAAATTTTATTTATTTATAAATTGATCTATATATAAATATATTCTTGAAATTGAGCCAAACATGGTTATGAATTAAATCTAATTTTCTTGGACCCTCATAATTCTTAAATCGACTTTTCTCACTTTGGATGAGATTCTTTACTTATTATGAAATAAAGTGATATTGAAGAATGACGTCCACACCAAATAATATTTTGAGACAATAACATATTATAGTGATGTATTATTGATTGCATGTTTCAACCAAAGCTTTCAATTGTTTAGAAAAACTAATCGTCAAAGTTTTTTAGAATAATATTCATTAAATAATTTCTTATAATAGTGTTTATTAAATAATTTCTTAGTTTTTTATTAGGGGATATGTATCATTTGCTTATTTCGATTATGATTTGGTCAAATTTTTTTATTTTAACCCATGCGTTGATTTTCTATTTGGTAAGAAAATATAAAAAGATCGAGTGAGACATTTTAGGATGAAACAAGACTTCTTTTATTTCATTGAGTGTCGTACACTCTTTGTTATGAATTTAGCCTCTTATGGCACGGATTTATTCGATTGTTTTTTAAATTTCAGCCCATCTTAATGTTACTTTTTGGTTCTGTTCTTGATTGATTCTTATAATTTTACATAAACGCGCACAAATACTCGTGTGTTTGGGACACATTCTTTTGAAAAAATGTATTATTGAATAGTAGATTGATGGAGAATGTGTGGTTAAAAATGAAGGAAAAGTTATTGATGTGATGGAAAATATTATTTTATTGAAAAATGTGTGGTTGAAAATGAGTAGAAGAATGAGATCGTAATCTGGAATAGTATTTTGATGAAGAATGTGTAGCTGAAAAAGAATGAAAAGTTATTGATATGATGGAAAATATTATTTTATTGAAGAATGTGTGGTTGAAAATGAGTAGAAGAATGGGAATGAAAAAAATAATGTGTGCTTATTTCCTTGAAATATTATTTACTGAACAAATCTCCCAAGCTTGGTCGGGAAAAGAGTTCACCTACTGCTGAAACCAAAGAAAAAAGGCCCTACATTGCTCGCCAAGGTAGGCTAAGCTTGCATGAGAAAGTTGCAAAAATGCCAAAAGACCACCCTTTTATCATGTCAAGAATCTCCCAAGGAAGTCTCTTCGTAAGTTGCCTAGATAGAAAACCAACTTATCCAGTGAAAGAACTGGGGAAAAAAGCGAAGCTGCCTCAGCTGAATAACACATTTAAGAAAAAGAATGAAGCTGCATCTGATATGCGAATACAAGATGCCGAGGCAGGGACACCTACCGAGTCAAGCAAGAGTTGGCTCAGGGCAGATGATGAGCCTGCTATTGAACCATTGGCAGCACTACAAAAGGATTTATATATATTAAGGAGCCTTCAATACCAACTTCACCTAATCTACTGAAGAGGTCTGAGCAGGTCTCAATTCATCAACCACAAATGCTTGAAGGGCATTGCAGGCTTGGTTCGTTGTCGTATTCATATCAGCAGCAAGGTTTGGTCGTGAAATAAGCTTTTCAAGCTCGATAAGCAATCAATGTGCTTCTGCAACCTGATGTCAGCTGTGGAATTTTTCGGCTTTCAAATTTTAGTTTGACAATTTGCTTTGAGCTTAAAACAAATTTTTATCCTTTTTACAAGTCAAGGTGCACTGATTTTGCCTGTTGAGCTTCTTACAAATTATCTTTTTCTTAGTCTTGTTACCATTTCATTATCATTAAATATGAAGAATATTAAAATATATATTTTTTTTTTTTTTTGATGTAGGTATGCAATTTAATCTTGCTGATTGCAGTCCAGGAGCTAATCACGAAAATTATAGCAGCCAACGCTAAAATCATCAATTAATCCACTTTCAAGTTGGCAGCATATGGAAAAACATCTGATCAATTCCGGAACTAAGAAGTTTAAGACTACAAGAGTAAGCACACATTCACCAATAAATGTTGATCAATCCTATGATGCAAGAAATTACACAATAAAGCTCCTCGAAAGCTTTTTTATTCACAAAAAAAGTAGCATTTTATTGAGTATTACATTGAGCGTGACAGTTGGTAACAGGAGAAAACCTGCAAAACTAGGGCTTTGTCAAGAAAAAACAACCCTAAAGGGTTGTCATGGCAGACTAAAACAACTCTGCCATGAACAAAGCTCACGAAAAGCACGGTTACAAGCCTACAACTGCCAAAAGCAACCACAAACACATAACTGACTCACGGAATCAAACCCAACCATCATGTAACAGAACTGGAGCATTCAGCAACATGGAAGACTCGGTAAACAGACACTAAGTACTTGATAGCATAACAAGCTCAGACCAAGCAAGCTGGTATAACAACTGCTAGGCTAGAAGCTGAAAACATAATAGTAGGACCATTAGAAGTATCTAAGAATTCAGCACCCAGTATCTGCATTCTCAGCTACGTGTGACCATTAAGCAGAATGACTCCCTTCACTAAGGGGAAAAATTCTTGTAACAGCCTTCTAATGGAAAGAAAGCTGCAAAAAAAAGAGTAATTGGCCACACCTTGCTGGAAAAAGGACTGGAACACTGAACCACATTAAGACCCATGGTTATGGACCCAAAAACGCCACACTTGACTACTAAAACCCAAGAATTATAATGTAGTGAAAACTTGTGATGTACCCCCATCATCTGTAACTTCTTTAGCGTGACTTTCCAACTGTCAGCTGCTCAGGAGAGTATATCACACCCCCAAAGTTGCCCAACAAGCAGATCAACAGCATCAGAGCTGATTCCATTGCAATGCTGGAGGTTCAACCCCACCATTGTCTTGCCCATATCCACCAACAAAGGTGCAGATCTGTCAGATACCAAAGAGCAACCAGTCAGGGAAAGTATCTGCAGATTCAGATGCTTGGCACCAGCCAACGCCGCAATCCCAGAATCAGTAATTCCACAATTAGAAAGATCAAGTTCATTCAGCAGCCAGCAATCCCTTGCAACTGCCACCAGGCTTGCATCAGTTATGAATCTGCAGCCTTCAAGATTCAGAACCTCGAGAGTGCTCCCATGCAGCTTAGCAATGGTTGCAACAACGTTGTCGGTCAAATTAACACATCCACTAAGATTTACCTTCACCAAACCAGCTTCAGAGCTCTGAACAAAAGGTAGAAGCCCAGATTCAGTTATTCCCTGAAGCCCACTGAGTTCCACACGAGTCAGGTTGGGGCAGAGTCTACCCACCATGGCCAAGCTAGCATTACCAAATCCTGGACAGTTGCAGATGGTCAGTGATTGAAGTGAATAGCAAAGAGATGTCGATGGAAATACATAGTTTATGTTCTGAATTCCCAAGCAATTGGCCAAGGCAAGAGCCTTCAATTTTCCACCACAATTTGCAAAGATGCCAAAAACCCCACATTGGGTAATCCTATGGCATTCCTCCAATTGAAGACTTTCAAGTGACCCTGCAGATTTAGCAAAAGAAACCAATCCATTGTCTGATACAAGTGGACATCTTCTGAGGCAAATCTGATGCAGATTTGGGCAACCTTTACCAATAGCTTCAAGCCCTAAATCAGAAACTCCTCCGCAAGTGGTTATTGTCAAAGACTTCAGCTTCTGCAAACCTTGACCACTAGCCATGACCCAGAAGCCCCTCTCGTTCACATTTTGGAGTCCAATAAGCGCAAGGTCAGTCATTGCACTGCCATAGTGCCCAATTACAGCAAGAGACACATCGCTGATGTTAAGTGCCTGAAGCTTCACCTTTGTAACAACATTACCAGCTGATGAAAATAGACCTGCAATTCCCTGGTCCCCAACGAGAGGACAATTTTTAACAGTAACGGACTTCAGGTTGGGGCATCTACATCCCAAAGTTTTCAGGCTCTCATTTCCAATGTTTGAGCAAGATTCTATTGTAACTGATACCAGATTGGGACAGTTCTTTGCAATAGCAAGCAAACCCTTGTCTGTAACTGCTGAGCAATGGCATAGGTCAAGCTTCTCCAGCAGATGACAGCCATTTGCAATCTCAAGTAGCCCTTCATCACCAATTGATGATAAGTTCCAAATTGAAAGCTCTCTCAAAGAAGGGCAACCACGAGAAATGGCCTTGAGGCCAAAATTTGTCAACCCACGAGTAGAACTGCTTCCTCGGATGGATAGCTTGCCCAAACCTCCACAATGTCCAGTTCCAACAGCAATGGCAGCCAGCCTTACATCAGTAGCTTTCTTCCCTTCAAGGCATTTAGAAAGATATCCACCAACATCTATCTCCAAGACCTCCTCCTCAACTTCAGCTTTAATTCCATTTGAATCTACAAATCCACCCTTCTCGTTTGGCTTTGCTGACTCATCTGCCTTCTTAATACTAGATCTGCTATCAGGCTCCACAGGTAAAGTGGTTTCATTATTGCATATTTCATCCCTCTGAATGCAACTTAAAAGCATAAGCCAACGCTTAGAGACACCTGCACATGCACTCCTCTCTTGGCCTCCAGTAAGGCGTCTGAACACCTCAAAGAGGCATTCGTCAGGAAGAACTTCAATTGATGGCTGTTGCTTTTGCTCTCTGCTGATAAAGAACGGGGCACTGACACGAGACCTCTTACGAGGAGGAACGTACACATCCACATGATGACCAAGGGACAAAATGAGACTCGATTCCTTTGGATTTGGGTACAAGAACCCCCCAGGGAAAATATCATCATTGCCTGAAACCAAAGATGTGGAAACCAACATCAGCCAACATTTTTAATAGAAGATCTAGTAAATTTTAGATTACATGAATTGTCAAATACCCTTTATAAGTATGCGGGACTTTGTGATGTGTTGCACATCAAGCAACTATATGTTACCACGAGCATATAATTTTACAATCCTGATCATATATCCATGGAAATCTTACACTTAAAAAGGTACAGTGTCTATGAAATTTTTACGAACAGCCCTATTTAAAACCGCCCTCAACAATAGATAGTTATGAAAGAAAGAAAAAAAAAAAAAAGAACATATCATATCATATCATATCTGAAATATAAAATAAGAAAAAAAAGACTGTACGTTCCGGTAAATTAACCACAACCTTGGTTACTGATAAATTTTGAAGCATCAGTTTCTCTTCTATCCTTTTATAGGGTCTCACATCAAATATTTGAGATACCACAACAATAATATATTTTATGCTTCGACATGGACATAGAATATAAATATATTGAAACAACATAAAAAACATGGCACAAGAAAAAGGCTGCAAGTCTAGAACCATAAACTTTAAGCAAAAACCACAAAAAGATTATAACACTGTAATCAAAGACTGTAAGCATAATTACATACTCAGATACTTCCAAGACCGTATCAGGTTTTATTCAAACAAAGGAACAAAAACCAAATTTGATAAACATTTTTCAAGTGAAACACATACAAATTTTGAGATTACAACATCTCTACGAAGATTATAAGAACGGCCATTTATGCAAGTATACAGATATATGTATTTCATGAAAATACAAGATTCAACCAAATCAAAGGCATAAAAAATTAAAGCATAGATTCTTTAACAGAAATCAAGAAAAGACATGAAATTTAAGCAAAGCGCAGAAAAGAAGAGGTCTTACCACTGAAATTGAAGACTTTAGACATGGGAACTGTGTGAAAAGCCAAGGAAAGTCAAATCTGAAACTTGGAAGCCCAAAAAACCCTCCGATGAGAGCAAAAAAGACCAGATCAAGCAAGAAGAAGACGATCAGCAAGATTAGAAAAGAAACAGAATGCATCAGAAAAAAAAATCAAAGGCAAGAAATCATTTGGGAACCCTAACAAGAATAGGGCAAAAAAAAAAATATAAAAGAGTAGAGATAAAAGCGTGGTGGGTGGACGCTACAACGCAAGAATATGAAGAAAAAGTATATGTGTGAGGTGCCGTATCTCATGCATATCTTTTGTTTTCAAGGTGGGGTCTTTTTCATCTTTCTTTATTCATTATTTATTTATTTTATTACAATTCGGGATACATGCAATGAACCCCAAACTTCATTGTCATGTTCAATGTTTCAATTATGAATGTTCAGGCCCCCTGGCCGCTGCCCCACACCCCCTCTCTCTGCTTTTCTTTTGTGTAATAAAAAAATCCTGACTTATGTTAACTTTCGACAGATCCCATTAACAAGGCAGGCATTTACATGGTACTACATAATTTGAAAAGAACTACGTTTCCCTTTCATTGATTTGTTCTGCTTTTTAAGAAGATAAATAATAAAAATGTGAGAAATGTCCATTTTAGATAATTATTCTTTCCTTGACTTGGTTTGGGTTTCACACTATCGAGTCATTATCAAAAGCACGGAACCTAAAAATTTATCATAACCACCTAGATATCAAGTATAAGCAAAAATTAAAGATGAACACAGATATGCCTACCCGTAATCATGGAGTTCAACAACAAGGCATAGTATGTGTTGTGCATCCATTAAATGGATAAAGCTCCCAACACTATAAAAGATTATTACAATCACATCTCATAAAAGAACTATCAAGTACATCAAAAGACTCAAACTAACAAACAAGCCCTTTGATTACTGTTCACCAAGAACACAAGAAACCATCCCTTTCCAAGCACCAATAGTTTCCCCAAAATAAGATCACATAACACCAAGTTCTTGACTAATACCAAAAACCAAACCTAAAAAGAAGAATATGAAGTTTGCATGAGATTTCAAAGAGAGAATTCTGGAGAGCTAGATGAACAGCTATAGTAGGTCATCGATAATATCATTTATTCCCAATAGCTTGTTGATAGGTTTTAGTAGGTGATTGTTCACTGATTGTAAAGCTTCAATAGAAGTTAGATTTTGATGAAAGCAATGAGGATTACGTTCAAGCATCAAAATCTTAATGTTAATAAATTTGTGACAACTATATATAGAAAGTTCATATTTATAAAGTATCTATAGCATGGACATATGCTAATTGATTAGTTTGTCATATAAATTTTTTTTTCTATGAATTTGATTGTTAAAAGTGTAATAAATTTTCAATTATTTGACAATATTGAATTTCTTTTTATTTTCATATGGTTGATGGTGCACTTAAAAAAAAAAAAAAGAAAATTTATCGAACTTACAAAGTTTTGTTAGTTTTATCATTAACAAAGTTCTATTGTTCTAATTTCTTTTATTGACTCTTATTTTTACTTTTTTAGTTGCCATAAAAATTTAAAATGTTTCTTTAAAAACAACTATCGGGATTTGAGAAACGAAAGAAGAGAAAAACTAAGGGGTTGTTCTTTTCGTATTTCAGTTTTTAGCTTTTAGCTTTGAATTCATTTTTGGTTTTGTATTTTAAGTGTCCATTTTCAAATTGCTGAAAACGAGTTTTTTTTTATAATTTTGAAAAATTATTTTCAAAATTTTTTTTTTTTTTAAAAAAAGAAGTTTTGGTTTGGTCGTTTTCCGTTTTCTTTGTAAATTTTAAATTCATTTTTGGAAATTTGTTTCTGAAAATAGGTAAATAAACATGTTTTTCAAAAACTGAAAATGGTCTAAACACAGCAAAGAGAACACGCCCTAAATAGTTAAACCAATTCTAAAAAGATGCTCTTAATACATTCATTGTTGAAAAAGCACAAAATATAGATTGTGTAGTTTAAACTTCAATTGAAGATTTAGCTACCAATCATCAACGGGAAGAATTAGGACTCAATGGAAATTGTTGCTACCAAAATTTGGATTGACTTGTATAGGATGGTTGAACCCTGCACGCTATGATCTTCTATACCTGAAACAAATGCGTCAATATGTGTTCTCATCACCCCTCCAATACTTAAGTCAGAGAGAGATCACAAAATATATACTGGAATATTATTGAAAAAAGTACCTGAATAATGAGGGGGGATACATATTTAAAGAAGCTAGTGGTTGAGTCTTAGACGGACTAGTATTTCCTTACGGGAGGTATTTGTGTTGTGTTAGGATTGTGTTTAAGATGAAACTTAAGGTAACTGGAGAGTTTATGTTTGAATTGAACTAGTGTTCTGGGGGTACGTGAGACGAAGGGGAGGACACGTGAGTTAGGGAATGAGATTGCGCATATTGATAGGTCTGACCTAGAAACCATAAACCCGAAATAATGGGATGAGGTCGGGCCAAGTGGGTCAAGCAACATGGGCCCGACCCATTAATGCCCGACCTCAAGGGTAGGCTGGAGCCCATTAAAGATGGGTCAAGGTCGAGTTCGGGTTTATCATCATCAGAAATGATAAAAATGAAGAAGTTGATAATGAAACAGTTAGAATTGTGTTGTGACCCGAATTCTTATTGAGTGTTTGATTAGAAATATTGTGGAAAAAATATTGAGAGTTGGTAGTAGACTTGAAGATGTCTTGAAGGGGTCTAAGATGAATTTGATTCCAATTTCATTTCAAATTCTCCATTATTGACTTTACCCATTGTATTAGGACTTCACCTTACATTAAATAGGACAGAAAGGGTTAGAGAAAAAAAAAACGATTAATACTAGGAGGATGTGTACAACACACTTTTTTTTTTCATTTTTAATTTTTATTATGCTAAGAGTATATATGTGAATTTATTGGGGGTGTATTTGTTGAAATTATATTTTAATTGTGGTGTGATTACAATGTAATTTAGTAATTAAATTTTGTGTTTGTAATATAATTAGCCTTTAGTTTTTTAGGATGAAACTTTCTTATTATCACGAATAATTCTTGAACACGGGGACAAAACTGAAAAGTCACTCTCTCTATCTTTATTGTATTTTATTTACAAATAATACCCCTTTAATTTATTAAATTTTGCAACAAGCCCCAAATCCAAACCCATATTCACATCAACTTGATAATTGGTTTTTAATTATTGATTATTGACAACTAATTTGATGTTGGACTCTGATGTCAATATTTAATGATTCATTAAAAGCTTGCCTAGCTACATTACAACCACTAGACCATATTATATGAGTTTATAATTTACTAAACAAATAATTAAAATTTCAATTTGCATTACTTCTTCAATGCAAGCTTGAAAAGATCCAATCACGACATATTTTACGTAATTTTAACGAGTAGTTATAACTCATGTAAAAGTCACATACGATTTAATGTTGACGTTTATGGTTTTCGGCACATAAGGATCTAGATTGACATATATAAGTAGGTTGAGGATTCAGAAACTCGTCTTGAAGGTTTGAAATTTAAAATCACACTAAATGAAAAGTTAAGCAGCGCAATCTTAAATTTTCTTTTAGATAATCATGTCTTTCCTTGCATTAGGTCCCGACTAAACTTAATTGGGTTACTTTGTATTCTCGGACACTCTTTATTTATGTGAAAATAGAGTACGAGCAAGAGTTGGACGTCAACATTACATTCATAGTTACAAGATGAAGCAAGGCCACGTGCGTATGTTTCAAAGAATTAATTTGACCTACCAAAGAGTTCATATTATTGACTTGGAAAATGCGTGGGGACACTCTCATGACAATAATGCAAATCACATTCATTATTGGGAAATTTCCATATGCTCCTCTCTTCTCTTAATCATTTCATTAACACGGTTATGAATTTTCCAAAGTGTCGTCTCAAATGTATAAGCAAGTTGGCAATGGAGAGATAACTCATAGTAGCGTAAGATAGATGTTACTTTCTTTCGAACAGTCTTCTCTTGTATCAATTCGTTCGATTATATTTTAAAAACTCTGTCAAACATCACCTGAATAATAAATGTAAATAATTATCTAACTGATTAAGATAACACCGTTTTATCTTTACTTGAGTACTTTCTTAAATTAAACTAGGCGAGGTGGTGCTTTTACTAATGACAAAGAAAAGCACGACTTAAGTAGGGGGGCTAGGCGTGATCCCGACCTCCCATGGACAGTACAAAGCCAAACATAGCCAATGAACTAACAAGAGGACCAAACCGAGTGGAACCATTACACTTTACAAGTAGTAAACATGCCACTGATTGTTTCTCATGCAAAGACTTATCCACAATTCGTACATTATTATCAGGTCGTGAGGATTGGTAGAAGATAGTCAGATTTATTGCCGAGAACATGAGCTTTAGTGTCAGGAAAGCATTCGAATCCAGGGAGGGCCGTAATCTCTCCTTCGTTGGAAATATGAACAGGATAGCGAAGAAGATGTCCTTCGAGGTCTTCCTCAAGCATGTCACTTGTGTATTGATTCCAGTTTTTATCAGCACTTTCATTAATTTTCCGTACACATTTCAAGCTTTCCGGATGAAAGAAAGAATCGTTTATATAGTTAAGGTGCTCGTACCATAAGGCCATTCGGAAACCAAATATCTTACCCTTGGCCGGCTGGCCGTTTGCCAAGTGATGTGGTTGGAAGCCTCCCATTGCTATCTCGGAGTCTCTTGCACCGTCCATTGACCTTTGATTGATGTTGGCCGATCCAATGATAATGTATTCATCATCAACTGTCGATATAGAAAGTGCAAATAAATCATGAGTTAATCCGTGCAGCTGAAGGTAGAAGAATATATCTAGAAGAATATTTTTTCGGTACCTATCATCATTTTTGCGTGAACATAAATCATGAAGCGCCTGGACTTTTGAGCTCGACTATAATCAGTATCTGGATCAGGTTCCTCCGTAGGAATGTATTCTCCGACTGACTTGATCTCTCGATTGCCAAGGCAGAAGAAAGTTAAATAGTCCCTAAGGTCTACATCAGTAACTCCCTTAGCTAGTAGGGCGTTATAAATATCAGAATACATCATTTCCATTGTCCTCTTCTGCCAATCAAGAATTGCCTGAACAGAGGCACTATCTGGTATACCTTCTGGCCACATAGGAATGACAACGTAGACGGTAAATCTCTCATCTGCTTCAATCTTACTTACAATCTTCAGTGAGAGCTCCTTTGGTATAAGGTGCAAGGCGTTAATATCCTCAATTGTTACCTCCCTTGATGGCTTCCAACCATATGAGCTCCCAATAAAATACTGATTTTCTATGTATATAAAATTCTGGGCCCTTCGAATTGCATTGATGTAGGCATCTTGAATGCTGCGATCTATGATGTTGTCCTTTCCACTAACGAGGCCTATTTGTGCTGCTTCCTCGGGTGTAGTTGGGAAGTCAGAAGCAGCGGCACCATCAATTGAACGGAATATTTGAACACTCCATGTTTCAGGGTCTTCTAACGAGTTAACAGGTGTCGGGCGAGCAATAAACCTATCAAGATCATTAATGGAATAGAGATACTGACTCCCTACTTGTTTCCTCCATCTCTGTTCGAAGTTGTACAAGACATCCCAAGCTACAGGCCCTTCAAGCCTACAATGAATATCGTGCCAGGGTTCCCTAGGACCACCTTTTGCGATGGAGGAGCCTGGAAAATTGGGCTGGTGGAAATCTTTATAATGAACTGTGCCCAATGTCCTAAATAGGGAATGATCTAGCGTGTCATACCTTCCATCACATAGATCGATGCCACCAACAAAACTAACTAGCCTTCTTTTTTGAGACCCATCTCCCAGGAATTCACTGTCTACTACAACTGTCTTTTGGTGGTGAGTAAACATGGTTGAAACCTGAATTCCTTGGATTATGCTGTTACCATCATCAGGGTTTCGAGGACACAGTACACAACGCACATTTGTGTTCTGAAAGTAATCTTTTGTTTCTTGATCATGGGTTGCCATTAGACCATCCTTCTTCAGTTGTGGTACCGAAGTTCTGTCATCCCAGACAAGCACGAGAACGTTCACACCTTGGTCCGCCTTCTTGTTCAACAGCTCGCCCAGAAGTATATCGTCTCCTGTCTTTTGCCTCTTTGGGTCCCTTATTAAAGTGATTTCAGTATATACTGACCAACCTGTTATGTAAATCAAATGTTGAGCACCATTAATTGCATTGAACATGTCCTCCCAGCATCTTTGTGGTTCATAAAATCCCATAGACGTAAGATATCTTGTGGGGCTATTATCTGGGACGTGAGCATCTGGGTAGAGGGAAATTTGACAGCCCTGTCTCTGAGGGAAGAATGTTAAAGGGACACCTGGAAATCCTGGAGTTCTGATACCTCGAGACCAGTTACTTTCTTGAGTAACATGGAAAAATTGCAGTTTTACATGTATCTTAGAGCCTCCGTGGATGGGATTCATATCTTCATCCAGTATGTCAATCCATCTATCCACCATATGTCGATCTATGATTTCCTCCACAGATAGATAAGCTCTTCCAATTAATGTTGCTCCAATAGGATTTTCATCTTTCACGGTAAAAATAATATTAGAAACCATATGAGCACAGTAAATGTGAAAATCCTCATACCAGCGTGGATTTGAAAGTTCGTTCTCTATCATTCTAGTCCTCCCGACTCTGGCCCTCTGCAAATCGATGGTGGCATAAATTCTGGAACCAACAACCTGCTCAAATTTTCGACATTCAGGTTACTAGCAATGCATATAATAAGCAGAATGAATTGATTCAGTAAGATATCGTATCTAACAAAGATGTACCTCAGGACTGCATAGTACGTATCTCTTGATGTTGTATAAGAATCTTTTGGTCATCTTTTGTGGATTGGAAGTCTTCAAGTTCACAGGGCCAAGAAAAAGAACAAAAAGACACGAAAAACAGGAAAGAATTATTAGAGAATGTGCACGATCATCTTCCTGATGGCACAAGCAAATGCAGACATCAATATCAAGTTAGCAGCTATCAAAGTGATCCACAAACTAGGTCGATATCTCCAGCAAAATTCTTATGCTGCAACAGATAAAAGTTTACAGAAAATTTATTGATATTCTTCTTTATATGTTCAAAGGAAACCCATACGCACCATCACAATAACCAGATAGTAGCTCGGAATATCAAATAAAATACGATGTTTTAGGATAACATCAGAACAATTGTTAGAACGTGCACGCAGGATATTGTGGGATCTAGAAAGTCAATTATGTAAGCAGAATTCTGATTCATAGCTATACGCGAGAGTATATGAGAGGAACCGGTCTTGATACCATCGAGGTAATATAACTATGGTCTATGGAAAAGCCCGGTCCTATGGATATATATTCATGTAGAAAGTTGGTTTTATCCTCTTTCTTTTTCATTATTTTATTTAGAAAAATGGTGATATTCACCATTTATTCCAAATTCCTGATAATAATGTCAGTATGAGTAAGAAATTTACCTTGCCGCATAAATCAAACCCCCATCCACCCTGTAATCTATCAGCCTCGTATATTGTAGCACGAAGCGTCCCATGAAGCAGACGCATAGCCATGTTAGTTTTACCTAAAGTTTCACTCGGAAGAATTAATTGTCAATACTCAATAGCTTCCAGTAAAAGAGAACATGCATGAAAAATATACAAATTAAAAGCATGCGAGAATAGGAAATGATAGAAGAAACTTTTCACATACAAGAATTTGGCTCCAGAAATTTATGTAGCCCCGAAGAGAGGAGAATCTAAGAATTGAGTTTCTTGCAAGAAAGAAATATCTTTTGCTTTGATCATGTTTCATTTTGATGCATGAGATGAGAGGAACTCTCTGGCACGCTGTAAGTAACTTCTTTGCCTTTTTACTTTTAAAAAATTAGCAAGAAAGAAATCTTGAGGAAGATGAGAATGGAAGGAATGGAGGATTGGTAGAATGGCTAAACTAGCTTGAAAGGAAGCTAGTGGATTCAATTTACAAGTAAAGATAGCATCTTCGAACGTGGGTTTTTGCTAAAATCATCATAATGCCTTGTTACGGGGGTGTTTGATGAATATTATTGAGGAAATGATGCATTTTAAATAGTGATATAATGTGAAATGTGTGGTTAAAAAGTAAGGAAAAATTATTGATGTGATTGAAAATATAATTTTATTGAAGAATGTGTGGTCCGAAATGAGTTTTGAAAGAATGTTTGTCGAGCACGGGCTACAAATATCTTCTCATGTAATATTGAACAACGTTCTCCATAGAGTTTCTTGTTACTGAAGAGTTTCATCATTTTTTAGTTTATTGAGTGAATATCCTGTGTAATTTTCTTTTTCCGATGCTAGTATCATGGAAGAAATATAGAACGGCATTTTTTTGGAGAAGCAGCAAGTTAGATTTTCAAGTTTGATTAGAAGTTGGACTCTTCAAGATTTGTCGATAAGGCTCTTACATAACCCATAATAATAAGTCTAGTCGAATTTATTTGAATTTTATCGAGCATATAGATAACCATCTTCAACTCTGATGGACGAAAATCAGAGTACTAGTAAAACTCCCAAATCCTACACTTTCCAGATTGATAAATAACAATTATTAGCATACATGTATACTGAAGCACATGATTCAGATGGCGCTTCAATCCAGAATAATAGAAGAGTGTGATCCCTTTGGCAAAACCAGTTAACATTTCAATCATACATATTATTGCACAAGCAGAAAGCAAAGCAACATGCGTTCAGTAAAAGTTCCAAATGTACGATCTCAAAGAAGCCATGGACGGCATAGGACAGCCAGCTCCAGTATGCAAAGAGGGCAGGACGCTGACCTTCAATAAGCGGCAGAGTGGCTTCACAGCCAAAAAGTTTCAATAAACAAGATGTTGCATTTGTAAGAAATGCAACTAATAGAACCTTTCTCATATCTTATCAGCAAGGTATCTTCCCAGATAATCGATGGGCTTATTCGACTCTACATTTTTGGTTCCCCTGCGCCTAAACTTTATTCGGGCAAGATAATCGGCTGCAATCCAAGCAAAACTCAACATTACAGACTTCCCAACACAATCTGGAACTTGCAACTCGAGAGACTTTTGAACCCATTTAGGATGATAAGTTACTTGATACCATGCCGATGCCTTCCTTTCATATATTACATTTTTCTCATCATCAGAAAGGTCATCAAAATCTGAGACATCCAGGCTGTCAAACACCTTCCTGAAGTCCTTCTTGAGGGTATTGTAGGCATGCTTCAGTCTCTCTTTCAATTCCCCTTGCTTTTTGCTACTGTACTTTGGCATCGACCAAATATGTCCAGTAACAACCTCCTCTTCTCTGTTCACTTTGTACTGTCCCAAAAGGCAGTTCAACTGCCCATCATAAGCACATTTGCAATTCCATGCATCAGCAATAAAACTATCAGATCCTGGAATCTCGAGGTCTCGGTCGTAAGGAATCTCTTTTGAAGCAAATGCAAGTCCAGAAGATCCCTCGTAATCTTCGTCGTAAGCATCTTTAATTTTGCGGTACAGCTTACCCAAAATTTTACTGGATCTGTACGACTGAAATTCCTCTTTCCCCATGAAGTCCGGATACAGTTTTGGTCTCAGTGCAGCCGGCATGGTCACTATCTTTCCAGTTTTTGGGAAATCAACTGCTGTTGCTGCAAGCTCTGCTAGTCTGGTGCACTTCTCATCCAATGCACCATATTCACTAAGGTCGGCATGAACCACATGAGCATTGCAAATTGTGCCTAGGCTTTCATTCACCATGTTCTTCGAGAAAAAATCAACAATGTCCTGTAAATAGCAAATGGTGTTACAATTAGAAGTTAAGCATGGAACAAAACTAGAGTAGTTTCCTCAACGAGAATTCATTCTTCCTTCCAGGATCAGTACATTCGGGAAATTTTTTTTGGAAAAGCCCCTTGAATGCATTAATATTTTCACAATAAGATTACACAGCAGTTATCCATGTATATATAGAAAAGAAGCACTACCAATTGAATTATGTGATCAACACGATTAACTAATCAGGGAAACAAGAAAGTTTCATTGGTAAAGAAAATATATCCCTCATAATATCAACTGCAACATTCCCACAATACTAAACTGGGAGCTTAATTTGAAGCTGTATCTAGTACAGGAACTATCTATAAAATTGCTTCAACAAACTTTGGTTTTTACAAGACATCGTAAATAATATAGCTTCATCAAGAATGAGACTACAAAGAATCAATTCTGTTGAAGATAGAGCAAATAAACGTTCTCAACAAAGTCATGCAGACAGTGAAAACATCACCATCGCATCTTTCCCTAGGGCGAACTACACAAGCAAGTTAGATGCATACCATACAAACTACTAAGGGGTTGTTTGACAAAGCTTTTGATAAAAGTTGATAAAGTTGTTTAAATGGTAGAAAAGTTGATAAAACATGTGGATCCCATAAAATGTGTGTTAGAATTGAAGTTTGACATAAAATTTTAGCAAGCTGTTTGATCCTATATAGCCCGGACCTGCATACTCATAGTGGACGTCCCTCAGCCTCCCGCACCCATATTCCTAGCCTCTCCTCAAACAAGTACTAAGAAACAAACGGAACATTTCAATTAATTATTTGTCAATATAGTTAGATATGAAAAAAAATCATATATTTCTGTAAAAGAGTAGCATCAGTAAATCCAACATATTAAAAAGTATTGCTGTATTGATCATAAATTCATTATGAAAATAGGAGATGGAGAAGTAATTAGATACTCTAAATAATTGATGAAAAAATGACAAAACAAAAGCATCAAAGAGTTCAAATGAAACTTCAGAGCAAATCTAACAACCAATTCAAGAATGCTACTCAAGAAGGCAGGCAATTACCTTGTGCTGCACATCACGCGGCAATGTTTTGACTTCTCCAGGCGCATACTCCATCGGAACCCAGCTTGTCTTGCTTGGAGGAATAAGATTTTCATCCCAAGTAACAAAATAGAGATCCCCATCAAGGTCACTCCCAGATGCCTCATTCGTATGGGGTCTGTCCCCATTTTGAGGGAAGACAAGACAATCATAAAGATGCTTCAACCCAGGGATATCTACTGCCTCCAGAATCCTCACATCACCAGGATGAAGACAGGGGTTTTTGGCAATTGCCACAAGGCCCTTGATTACCTGTAGATTTTTATTGGTTTCAGAGAACTTTGAACCATGCTTCACAAAACAGTTTTCTAATGAGGGATTTGACACTTGGATGAAGCATTGGCCTTGTCCGAGTATACCAAGCTCATCCAAGCAGCCCATCAACCACCTTCCAGAAGGAACAAAGATCCTTGCTTTTTCCCTCAAGTCTCCAAGCTGGGCAGCTCTTATGCTAGTTAGCATCCCACTAAGATGAGGTTCGCTTTGAGGTCTGAAACCAGCGCTCAACATTATTGCTGCTGTATTTCCTTGCTCGGCACAGGAAGCAGTAAGAATATCAAAAGCCGTGTCAGTGTCTACGAGCATGTGATCAAGTCTTGAAACCATGGTTTCCTGCATTTTCCAGAATATATCATCTTTAACATCCAAAGCAGAGAGTAGAGTAATTATCTGCCGATTTAGAAAACCGGGCTGAAATCTAGTCCAAGAACAAATTTCAAGCATCGTGTGATTTGACTCGAACTTTTTCATGCTTGGTCTGAGATACAAGTGGATCCCATCATTTTTTGCAGGCCAACATGCAACGACACCTTTACAACCAGCATACCTGATCTGATAAGCACATGGAAGATTTACAGTCAATTGTAGTTTCTCTGCAACTCTCATTGCAAGATCAGTGGATATTTTACCGATTCCATCAGAGAAATCATATCCATTTCTTAGAATATCAGGAAGCTTAGGATCAACCTCAGCTGCTGGGACTTCCACTGTGGCGTAAGTTGACGAGAAACATTGCCCCATCCTAGCAGCACACTTTGCAACGTTCCTATTAGTAAACTTTCCCATCCAACTCTTAATTCTGGGCACTCCAATAGTTTCGTTTTCAGCAAAAAACCAGGCCGAACTGTCCCGCAGTTGATTAGCTGAGAAAGCCAGAAAAGAGTATTTTCGACCACACAAATAGAACCCGTTACTTAGTATATCCTTCACCCTTTTGAACATTGAAGTTCTTAGCGGATTAGAATTGGACGTGATGTCCCTCACAATGCCAGAAGCATAATAAGTAAGTACGTTTTTATTGAGTTTCCGCATTCCCTCGTCCATAAAAGTAACCCTGAGGAAGCGATCAGCTACATTCTTGTAATTCCTCAGAACCCTATTGGAAAGTTCCACTTCTGGTGGAAGACAGTAGGCTTTTGCTGGAGTTATGATCAACCGTCTAACTTCAACAATGTCGTCCAACTCTCGACGTCCCTCAAGAAGCTTAGGGTTTTTCAACAGCCATTTCTGAACAAATCCTAGATTCTTACAAGCATCATACCAAGGATGCTTTAGAGACCATATATGCTTTAATGCAACTAAATTGACTATCTCAGGTTGAATTCTCAACAGATGAAAAAACTCATCAGACATCTGATGCTGATTGATTATCCCTTTGTGCATGATGGCATTTACCAAAAACAAAATCTTGAAGGTTATCCCTTCCTTGTACTGAATACAGAAAAAGGGATCCGGCAAGGGCACCCCAAAATCAGGCTCATCCCGTACCCTTAGCTGAGGGCTGTTGTTTAGAACTGGTACCCTAAGTTTTTGAAGATATTCAAGAGCCTTGTTGAAGTTTGGACCGTTCCGGGGTCGAACTGAAATTCGGTAAATGTTACACCTACCAATTGCCCCACTAGGTATAAAATCTGTAGTACGAATCCATGGATCATCGTCGTCCAACAAATCAAATGGGACAGATTCTTCAATATCATCATCTGCAGTTCTGTAGTAAACAACAGGAGACGAAGCCAGCTGCAACAGAATTATCAAAGAAGAAGAATCTCGATACTGTTTTATTTCATTGATTTCTCTTGGCAAGAACTCGATCTTAAAATTGCACTTTATTACAGTGGTTTTAGATTCACCTTTGAAGGTAAAAGCAGTCTCTTTCGTAAAAAGTAGTTTGCATGTCGCATTGAAAGGATCAACAAGAAAATCAACCCCATTACGAGGTCCCCTCCAACCAACAACAAAATCATCTTGGCCCCTCATAAGTCCAATCTCAACACAAACATTGGATAACTTAAAGGGTGGGATAGTTCTCCTCCTCTCATTCATGCGGTATGGATTTTCAGGTCCCAAACTGACTTTCAATAGATTCTTGCCCAGAATAAGCTCATTACGGCCAGCAGCATCCAATGCAGACATTGCTGAAGAAGAAAGAGCAAAATGCATGAATGCATGGGGTTTAACTTTCTCATAGTTGTGCTTTTTCTGGACACTCTCAGTATCGACCTCATAATTTGGATATGATTCAGGTGGGGTTGAGGAAGTCTTCAATCGGCACCTCCAAACCAGTCCAAAATTTTCTTCGAAATAGTCCATCAGCATTTTGGCAGTGACAAAATCTTCAAACCCACCAACGCCAATTTGAGTGATAACCATGTCCTTATCACCTCCCTTGGAAGCCATTGTCCTTGTTATAGAAGTCGCTAATTACAATAAACTAAGCTGCGTTTATATGAAACCTAAAAAAAGATGATTATGGAAAAGGGGCGGGAGTTGGGGGGGAGATACATCAAAACAAATATGTTAATTTCCACCTCAACAGATTAAAGATACCAACAACAGAAAGAATGGAGCATATATACATAGAAAAAACAAACCTAGAATCATGTAAGCCTACAGTTAATTCAATTAAAAGAAAGAAAAATGAAAAATCTTTTTAAACGAACTAATTAAAAATGCATTGATGAAAAAAAAAACACCATTTTGATGAGAAAATGAACACAAATTATGACCTTGTTTGATTCCATTTTTTTCAAAATACATTTTTGTCCCACTTCTTTTCAACCACGCATTCATGGATAAAATAATATTACTCACAACCCAAAAACTTTTTATTCATTTTTAACCCCCCACATCCTCCGTTAATCTACTATTTCAAATGCAGTCTACGCGAAATCATGTTCTATAAAAGTGCAATATTGCCTTATTGGAGTTCAATTTTCCCATATTTTTTCTATTTGCTTTCTTAAATCAGGAAAGTGTTTTGCAGAGGACTATTAATCAACATTGACGGAGAGACTCAAATCGTAATTGAAAAAGATTGCGATTTGCTCAATTGAAAAGGAAAAAAAAAGAATTTTTTTATCTATAATCCAAAAAAATTGCATGATTATCTGTTAAAGACCAACTAAAAATGAAAATTGCATAACAAGAGAAACCCACTAACCTTTACGCAGTGATGAATCAACACAGTCGATAGAAGCAATCCCTTTGTTTTAAAGAAGCAGAGTGCGATTGCAAATGGTCTGTGTGGAATTTGGATGCTTTTAACTACGCCCTTCCTTCCCCAGGAAGGAAAGGAAGGAAGAAGGAAGGGACTTTGCTTTTACTCAAGTACGGAGGGAAAAAAGAGACCGATTTGATTTGATTTGATTTGATTTGGTATTACTGAACGAAAGAGGACAATTCAGCTCGTACAACAATAGGTTTCAACAACGAATTTTTCATTTGTACAGAAATAGAATTGCAAATTGCCATAACACTCACATGGAGTGGCCCATGTGAGTAAAATATTGCCAAAAAAAAAATAAAAAGGACCCCACCTGTGTATGCTTATTATGTTGCATTTTTATATGCATATTTTCTGTACACGCAGCATCTTTCTTTCAACAATGGGTTACAATAGTACGTGTACGACTAAGATGCATCAGGGGCGAACGGCTGAGATGCAAAAAGAAAAAGACAGAAATGGAGGGAAATGAGGGAATCACACAAGCACATGTATGGCTGAGATACATCCAAAAATGGACGACTGAGATGCAAAAAGAAAAATAAATGGAAAATGCTCAGAAGAAATGGAGGGAAATCACGGAAAGACCTCATAACACTTTCTTGTCAAAATACCGTCCATTATATCGTGCTAATTTTCTCATCCGGTGAAAGCAAGATTTTCAATTTTCTCAACCGGCAATAGTGAAATCAAGATCTCAGCCGGCGAATTTTTCAGCCCAATCCCGTGGACTTTACCGGCGACAAGTTCGATCCTGTCCCTGAGTTACGCATTTTTCAACCCTGATTCACACATTTTTTCCCCGGTAACACTCTGTCTTACTCCTTTTTCTCAAGAAGCTGGAAACCCAGTATATTCAATTGAAGGTATGAAATGTTGAGAACATGTGCACTCCGTCTATAACATTATGATTTTGAACTCATTACTCCATAATTCGGTGTCTGAAAATGATATGTGTTATAATTTTAACAATGAACGACTGTTTGAATCCATTTTTATTATGTAGAAATCACCATGTAGAAATTGTTATGAATGGTTGAAAATGATATATGTAGAAATTGTTATGCTAAAAGTGACTGCTAATTTGTTTCATAGGAGAATAGATGATGGAAGACGTGGAAAATGATTTTTTGGTGGAATCCGAACATATTAACGTGGAATGCATTATGAATGTAGTTGAAGACGAAACGGTGGGAGGAGATGGAGTGATTGTGACAACTGTTGGTATGAAGTTCAAGGATGTACACGAAGTCTTTGATTTTTACAAATTATATGCTTACAACGTAGGTTTTCAGGTGAGGAAAAGGAATTCAAGAAAGGACGACGATAGAGTCGTGCGATATGTGACTTTCACACGTAGCTGTGAAGCCGAAGAAGTGGTAGCACAAGCGGTTCTTTGAACAGGTTGTAAAATCAGGATCTTTGCATCTGTAGATAATCATAGTTACTGGAGAATTAACACTATGCACCTTGACTACAATCACAAAACAAGTCCAACAAAGTCAAGATTGTATCGATGCAACCGATAATTGAGTGTACATGTAAAAAGAAAGCTCGAAGTGAATGACATGGCTGGAATTCCATTCTGCAGTTGTTAAAGCGGGTGGATATGAAAATATGACATGTGTGGAATAGGATTATTGAAACTAGATTGAAAAAGTTAGGCAATTAAGCCTTGGTGAGGGAGATGCTACAGCAATACAGTCCTATTTTTCATATATGCAAGCACGGTGTGCGGGATTTTACTTCTGTATAGATTTGGACGATTAAAGAATGTATTTTGGACAGATAATCGATGTGGGGAAGCATATAAGGAGTTCGGAGATATTGTCACGTTTGATACCACTTACCTGACTAACAGATATGACATGCCTTTTGCACTTTTTGTTGGTGTCAATCACCATGGACAATCAACACTACTCAGTTGTGATTTGGTCTCGAATAAGAATACGAATACATTCGTGTGGCTTTTCAGGATATGGCTTGAGTGTATCTCAATCAAGCTCCGCATGGAATAATTATCGATCAAGATCGGGCAATGCAAAATTTCATTCACATAGTTTTTCCAAATACAAAGCACAGATGGTGCTTGTGGCACATTTTGAAGAAGTTGCCCTAAAAATTTGGATACCATGTCGATAAGGGTTCAATATTTTCGGGTGGTGTATGATTCTCTGATGGTTGAAGAATTTGAACAAGGTTGGGGATCGATGATCAACACATTTGAGTTGCATGATAACAAATAGCTATCAGGATTTTATGAGAACAGAGGTCGTTGGTTTCCTTGCTATTTAAAAACAACTTTCTGGGCTGAAATGTCAACAACATAGTGGAGTGAAAACATGAACGCTTTTTACGATGAGTATGTGCACTCGACGATATCGTTGAAGTAATTCGTTGAATAAGCGAGCATTGAATAACAATGTGGAGAAAGAGTTCTAGACTGATTTCAAGTCGTTCTCTCAAATGGTTCCATGTGCAACAACATATGAAATGGAAAAACAATTTTAGGCAGTGTACACAATGTCAAAATTCAAAGAAGTTTAAACTGAGTTCACGGTAAGGTTTACTGCGATGTCATATGTGCTTCAGATGGATCTTTTAGGACGAACTTTGAGGTATGGGAAGATGTCGTTTGCATCGATTGACGTAAAAAGAAAAAAATTGTCTCCTTCTAGAGAGATGAATGTAAAGTTGTTTGCAGCTGCCATTTGTTTGAGTTTCGGGGAATCATTTGCAGGCATTCGATCGTAGTATTAATTTGTAACATCACTGTACTGCCTGATAGGTATATATTGCGTAAGTGGATGAGGGATGTCAGTCGAATACACGAGAATCGCATTAAAATATGACGGGTTGGTCAATAATCCAGGACAGTTGAGGTATGACAGTATTTTAAGGCTTTCACCGAGGTGGTAGACCTCACGGCAGATGATGAAGGCCAAACCCGTGCGATAATGGAATGGATACAAGTTCAACATAAAGAGCTTTCGATGACAAAGTGGAGTAGTGGAAGCAATACCTTAAGTCAGCATACTATTCAATCAGGATCTCAGTATACTGATTCACAAAATACAAGCAGTGTGAGCGTACGAGATCCTAAATTGACCGAGAGAAAGGACGCGCCTAGAAAATTTCGCAGGAAGTGCCCTTTAGAGTCGACTTCGAAAAAGACGAAGGTATTTTGATTTATTTTTCCTCTAAACTTAAACAGAATACTAAAAATAAATCTCATTCATTCTAGATGTACATGTAGGCACCATCGACATGCAAGGGAAAACGACCAACAACAATGCATAATAGTATACCAATGGGTGCAACCGATGATGCATCTCAACGAAAACAATCTTTAACGTGTTCACCATTTGCATATTCACAATTCTTGATGGTTAGTCTATTTATTACATCATTTTCATTCGGTCTTATTAACTTACTGCATTATTGACTTTGTTATGTATTACAGGGCCACGAGGAAAATCATTCGTTTACACAACCCTATCCGGCATCTAGTTTCATCTAGCCGTCGTCAACGCATTTTAACCTCAATTCACAAGGTAACAACACTGATAAAAACATAAATTTCCACGCCATAATGTTGTGTTGACTTATTCATTTCCATGTTGTGTATTAGTCATGCTATTCTATACTACTATCAACATTTACCGCGTGAAGAAGGCTCGGGATTATGACGGGAGAAAGTCATTGGAAGGGCATAATTAAACAATTAAGTATAGTTGATGAAATGGTAGTGGTTACTGTGATGGGGATCTTCCATTTTTCTTGTTTGCCAAATTAATCTTCAAATTACTTATGTATAAGCACGCAATGGAGGATACTATATCAGTTATTGTCCACCGATCAACTTTCATAGAGGACACCTAAAAAGGCATCAACTAGTTGGTTTATTGTGAATCATCAAATCCCTGAACCAATCTTGTCTTTAGTTTGCTAAGTGCTTGTTCTTGTTATATAACTTTTTCATGAGCATTTGTTCACTTGGGTTTTTTTGTTTCACCTAAGAAATCCGTGAATTCAATACGTTAAGTAAATCCAGATGTATAAAGAGCAATTTTCATCAAAACATTTGGACTCAAAATTACTTTTTATCACATAAATCTAACTTAGGTAGTGAAGGACGGCCTAGCTATTTGAGTAAAAGGTTTAATATTTTATA